AATTTTAAATATAGAATTATGAAGATAGTAGAGGGTTTTCTTACACCATACATCCACTTTCCCTTATTATTAATATCTTGCATTAGTAAAGTATACTTATCACAATAAGTAAACCAATATCGTTACATTATTAATCACTATTCAGATTTCTTTAGTTCTTACCTAATATCCTTTTCCTATCCCAGGATCCCATCTAAGATTCCACATTACATTTAGTCTTCATTTCTCCTTAGGCTTCTCATGACTGTGACAGTTTCTCAGACTTTTTTTTATTTTTTATGAAATTGACAATTTTAAAGAGTACTGGTAAGGTATTTTTACAGACTGTTCCTCAACTGGAAATTGTCTAATATTTTCCCCATGAAAACATTAAGATTAATCTGGGGATATGGATTTTTAGGGGGAAAAGGTAAAATGCCATTTTCATGACCACATTAAGGACAAATACTATCAACATGATTCATCCCTATTGATGTTGACCCTAATCACCTGGCTGGGATAGTGTGTGTGTCAGGTTTCTCCACTGTAAACACTCCATTTCCCCCCTTCCATACCATACTCTTTGGAAGGAAGTCACTATGCTCAACCCACGATCCCAGACTGGGATGTTGTGGTCCACTTCCTTGAGGGCAGAATATCTGTCTAGTGAGTATTTTAAATTAGAAAAAGCTGGAAGGATTTCACAAGTCCAAGGTGTTGTAAAGAGGAAAGAGGTGAAAGATGAGGACATCCATATGAGGAAGTCAAGAAGTAAGGAATTCAAGATAATGATCACAGCTAATGTATGAGGCATGGTCACACTCCATAATAGTGGTAAAGCCTCATGACTGGAGACCCATTCCATTCACCTATCTCCTATCCACTCAGTTCCTCCAGAAAAGTGAAGCATTTGAACATTTGGAAACTGTAATGAAGTCCAGAATCCTTCTACTTTTCTCCTGGGATCAACCTGTGAATATACTACTTCATACATTGACAATGCCTAGCCTACAATAAGGTTCTGTTCTCAAAATAGATAAAATTGGTTTTTAGGTTTCCAGATAGAATTCATTGTCTTTTCTTGTGAGTGGATATGTGAGGGAAGAGGTGCTGTCTCTCATTTGTACTGCTGCATTTGACTTGGTTAACCACCCTCTGTATTGAATAGTAATTGCTGTGTAACAAACCATCCCCAAACTCAGTGGCTTAGAAAAGCAATCATAAATTATTGCTTATGCTTTGTGGGGCAGCTGAAGTTTATCTGGGCCGGGTTCAGCTAGGTGGCTCTGCTTCTTGTGAAGATCTGCTGGTTGGGGTGTCACTGATCTCTGTGCTCTTCATCCTCTTCAGTACACCATGCTAATGGTAGCATACTTTTACTATAGCAACGGCAGAAGGCAAGAGAACAAGCAGTAACATTTGCAATCTATCATGTCTTACTTATTAAAACATTTGCCTCTTGTGGGTAAAATTGTAATATTTCCATAATTTCTTGCCTGGCTTTAGTACATCGGCATATCAATAGGTCTTCAGAGGTGGAAAGAACTATGGCTTTAGTGCATTTGCTTCATTCCTCAGGGGTGGAGAAAAATTCATCTCCATATCAATGGGTAATTACCTGGGCAACAGAGGGCTTATCTGTACCTGAGAGGTGAGGGGGAGGGCTGGTTTTGCTTCTGCTAGAGCAGGAAAGAGAGAAATGGCCCTGGACTGCCGTTTGTAAGCAATAAATGGATTTTAAACTTTATTTCTCCCTTTGACTGATTTCGGTTTTTAGAGGTATTTTGCCCCAGGCTTTCCTTTCCCCGGATTTATACTCTTTTTTTTAACACAATACTATCTTGATCCTCTCACATAATTTTTCTTATTCAACCTCAGTACTGTATGTAGACTTTACCTAAGGCTCAGCCTTTTAGTTCTGGTTTTCTCCATGTGTCATCTTCCAAAGAAACCTTATCCAGGGTCAGACTCTCTAATTCCCTAATGGTCATTCCTAGTTCACCACTGGACACTTCCATATTTCCATTAGGAATTGCCTAAACTCATAATCTTTGGTCCCAGGCTCCATTTAAATCAATGTTTCTTCCTGTGGGTAAAATTGCAATATTTCCAGAATCTCTCGCCTGGCCTTAGTGCATCTCCATATCAATAGGTATTTCCAAGGGGTGGAGAGAAGTAGCCATCTCCATATCAGTAGATTACAGCGGGGCGCAAAGGCATATCTGGACTGGAGAGGTTGGGTGGGGTCCCTTTTTGCAGCTGGGTCACAGGAGACATGGGCGAGCAGAAGTGGATGACTGCTTCTAAGCAATAAATGGCTTCTCCCACTTTATTTCTCCCTTTGACTGATTTTGGTTTCAAAGGTGGTTTGCCCCAGATGGGAACATACTTCCCCCCACCACCCCGCCCCGCCAAGTTACACTTTCCAATACAAAGCTCTATGTCTGAAAAAGATTTGAGCCTTCAGATCATGTTAGATATAAATACAAAAACAAAACAAAACCCTAATGAAAACTTAATCCTACATTAACAGGCATGTGACATCTCTAGAAGTTAAAAGAGAATATATCTGAAAGAAAACAACAGTGAGAAGAGGAGTAGTAAAAACTATTTCCTTGAGAAAAGGTTAAAGTTACTAATTCTCTTTTTTAATCTAGAGATTATTTAGGGTACTAAGACAGGGACCATAGATGTAGTCAGAGTAAGGTGAGGGCCTCCGGAGGGGGCAGGGTGGGATATTTGCAATCAGAGCAATGTAACTACATGCAAAGAAACCCCCCTACTAAAACTCTATGTTAAACATTAAGCTCTAGAATAATTCTTCAGTGAAATCAGTTAATGTTCCCCAGATAAAGAAGAGTAGCACATGTTTTATTATGCTAATCATTTGTAACCATGTGTAAAATTCACTTTAGCATGCTAAAAGGCTCAGGCCTGTGTGCTGTCTTTCCTCCTTCAGATCTGACGAGGTAATTCCGCAAACTGAGCAACTAATTTAGCATGCAGACCCAGCAGTAGACGACATAGTAAAAGGCAGGAAGAAGTCCATCTTAAAGATAATGTTGCATTTTAACACCCAGGAAGTTCAAGAGGCAAGATTCTTTAGCAAGTAGACAATACCTCAGCCCACCTTGGGGGCTGGGTAGGCAGCCTTTTGATATGCTCCCAGACCAAGGCACCAGAGAGGTCCCAGAGAGAAATCAAGGCAGGAAATTTTTTACAGTTAAGTTAATTTTTAATATTCAGGAACGACTTAACAAGTCCCCACCCCTAAGTTTCTTCACGTTCTAGAAAAATTCTCAACTGCCTATAAAACCCCCTAGACAACGCACCACTACGGACTCTCTTGTCCCCTCCTGGCGTGAGCTGGGAGCTCTGTCCTTTCACTTTATCTCTAAATAAAAGCCTGTACCTTGCTCTCCTACCTTGACTGTTTGTGAAGCTCATTCTTCGGCTCCGCAAACAAGAACCCCGGCATCAGTACCATGGTCACCAGTTTTAGACAGTTGAAAATATGTGATACGGAAAGACCAGGGGCTTTTCCTTTGTAGCAGAACTTTACCCAGTGGGTGGCTTTTGGGGAGGAAAATTTCTTGATATAAGGAAGAAATTTCTAGTTAACAAAATTGTACAGAAACAGAACAGGGTATTTATCTTTGTTTCTCAATTGTGTCACACCTCTCTCCTGAAATGGCTGCCTCCCCCTTCTAATTATCCATCGGAATCTTATCCAACCTTCAAGATTTATCCCAAGCCTTCAGCTCTCCATAAACTCTTCCATAACTACTCAAACTTTATCAATCCCTTCCAACTCATGTTGCCAATCTCCTACCCTACCCCAACTAAATTAAGGACTGTTTGAAAATAGAAATATGACATTCTATGTTGTAACTGTAAGTATAAACACAATGCTGAGCTTATAATAGGCATCCAGCAAATTCATACTGGTTTACTGTTCAGTCGCAAATCTCTTAATTTCTAATCTGGAATCATCAGACTTTTGGTTAGAAGTGAAACTGTATTGAAATGCTCAAGACTCTGATTATTGCAAACTGATTTCATAAGAAGACATGGCTTTTTATTTTAATAATGGCCTGAAGGAAGTAATAGATTTTCACCATCTCTTGTCATCCAAGCTTATATTTTCCTATGTACCAAAAAATGACACTGAATTTAGAGATCCTTTAAGATTTTAGGTTTATAGCTGAGATCATTTTTTGGAAGAATTAACAGAATAAATGTGCCACCATTTCTTCATGTCTGAAAATTATTTAATACAAAAATCAACAGGTGAACAGGAGTACATGATGTAGAGGACACATACAACCCTGTAGATCTGTCACTTTACTTTGTATTCGGGTATGCTTGTTGTCATAGTTACTGATGTACTCAAAGTGATTTCCTCCCTGAATCAGTCTCTAATCCTCAACGAAAATAAGCTATTCTTCTTGCTTTATTTTTCTCCATCCAAGAATTGCAGCTAAAAAATAGCATTGGTTGCATGAATATTTTTATATTTTTAGTAAGATTTTAAACATACAAAAGGAAGAAGAGTTTTAATTCAAGTAAGTGCCTCTGATTGAAGTTTCACCTCATTTGTTCAGCAATGATTCATTGAGGAGGTAGGCACTTGGGACACAAATATGATTATAGCCCAGTCCCTGCCCTAGAAGATACTAGAGCTTTGGAGGGAGAGAGATGAACAAAGGATGCATTTCAATGAAATGTAATCAATGCTGTGGTGGAAATACTGTGTAGAGACCAGTGAAAACATGAAAGAGAGACACCTCATCAAGTCTGGGGTGCAGTCAGATCAAAGGGAGGTATCCATCCCATGAGTCCTAAGGCTTTGTTTCTGTGCAGTGTAGCAAATATATTTTCGGTCATTTTGGGCACAGAATACCATGTAACTCTGTAGGCTGGGCTCATGGAGCAATGGAGTGAGATAGCCAGCACTTGCCACACAATGTGCCATCACCTGCTAGTATTTACACAGCTTCTCTTTTCTGCTTCGGCTGCAGGAACTCCTTCACAGACATCCTGCGTGCCATCTTGCTGTCATTGGAGGTCCTCATTGAAGATCCAGAGCTTCAGATAAGTGGTTTCATTTTAATTATAGACTGGAGTAATTTTTCCTTCAAGCAAGCCTCCAAACTGACACCTTCTATCCTCAAACTGGCCATTGAAGGGTTGCAGGTATGTTCAACGTGTGTCCAATATCATGACTGTCTATGACAATGCCCTCTTTTTCTTATTGCAACCAACATAATAATTGTATTTTAGAAAGGAAAAAGAAAACTTAGATAAAATTCACCTGTGAATATGCCACATTTTTACCTCAGCCTGAGTTTAGCTTTTTTAATTAGCATTCATTTTCATTAACAACTCTAAATTACTGTTACTATAGGCACCAATTACCTACAGTAGCAGTTATGAATAAAGCTCAGAGATGTTTAGCTTAATGCATCTGAGAGTTCACAAAAATTAAAATTAGAAAATAGCTGCTTTATGTAGAGGTACATGGGGGCTTTCTAGGGTTTCTAGAAGCATGTTTCTACCAAGGAAATGCACCCTGTGGATCTTCACTTCCCACAAGGCAATGTGTCAAAATGTTTGTACTCAGGGAGATCACTTCTGTGCAAACAAAAGAGGCAGACAAAACGACTTGCTATTTGTATGATCAGATATCAGGACTTTGGGGAAGGGGTTTTTGTGCTGCATGGGGGTTAGGATAATCAGTCTCTGGAGTCTCTTCCACTTTTATGGACCAGTGATTCTATGAAAGTAACAAACTCAGAGGGATAGTGCTGTTTAGCTTCCTGGTGACACATTATTATAGTACAAAAGCAAAGGCACAGTTCAGGGAGATTCAGCATTTGCATAGATAAAACTTAAGTCCCTTCTTAATTTTGCAGGAAAATTGACTCAATGGGGCTACCCTTGCCTCCCAATAGATTGCAGTTATATGCAGCTATGTAGATAGAAAAATATTTGCTGATCTTCAATCAAGCAACTATTACTCATGCTCATCAAAGTGCAAGACTAGAACATGCATTTCAATCATCCATCATACTCCAATGTGAAGAGAAATTGATGAGTCTTATTTTTAACCTATGGCTTATTCATATTTTGCTCCCAGGAAACATCTAACAGCTAGTGGGTCAGGTTTATTGAATGGATCTTTTTTATTGAAATGGTTTCCTATTTCAAGGAAAGTGAAGTAGAGCAGGCCTTTCAGAAGGAGAGAAACAAATAGTCACCTTTCCGAGAGTGCCATACTTTCCCTGGTGGCTACATCACACAGTGTATTGGAGGCACATTTTAGAAGTTGCTTTCACATTTCTAGACAACATAGAGTGTCCCACCCTTAAAAATGCCAGCAATAAACTTGTATGTACTTTACTATCAATCACTCTCTCTGAGCTGAACATCTGATCTCTCTCTCCTATAAGCTTTTATCAAAGGGAGTTTTAAAGTGAAGTACAAGGTTTATTTCATGCCTATAATTATTCTGACTATATTTCCAGTATTTTCTGTAGTACAATCTTAATTTTATCTTTTCAAAAGAAAAGATAATTCATTATATGTGTAAATTGCTGTGACTTGAGTTCTGTGTATTTATAAAATGTTTTTTCATAAATCAAGAAGGAAAAGTGTCCTTTATCCAGCCTGTGTTTCAGTTTTTATTTATGGAAGTGTCTGGACTATATAATATGTCTTTTGCCAACTTCACTAGGCAGCTGTGGGTCTGAGTTAATGCACATGAATGTGTTTTAAAAGGTAAAGCTATATAAAACCTTGTAAGATATCTTTATGAGAAATACTAGATGACCTTTTATGGGACCAGGTGGGTCCCGTCTGGGCCTTCACTTGTCACATGCCAGGGTCCAGGATGAATTCCACAATGTCCTATACCTCCAGTTAAGGAATAGTCTACTGGGAGAGGGGGAGGTGAATGAAGTTAGTGTCAGAGCAGAGAAAAGACTTTCTTCCATCATCTCACAAAGCAATGTCTGGACCCCTTATTACTGTCCTGTTTTGGAGAAAGCATCAGGCCAATCTGGAGTCAGGCTATCCTGGATCAGGAGGCAGCTTTCTCTGGGGATTCTGCCTGCCTAGGCCCTGAAGACCTGAGAACCCTTAGACAGGTGTGGTCCCTTCTGCCAAGAGAAGGAAGCCAGCAGTTTGGGGGAAGCTGAGCTTGGGTGCAGCTCCTCCATCTAGATACAGGCTCCCTATGCCATTTGGCTTGATGTCTTATCAACTGTGACAGAGCCCTGGGGGTCACTGCAGACAGTTTCTGCTCTTGCCCCACAGTGGGTAGTCAATTCTGGACAGCCACTGGCAATTTCTTGCTCCAGGTTCTCCCCTCTCAGGCCTTGGGGACATCCAGACACCGCAGTTACCACCCCTCCACTGGCTCTCCCAGTGACCTTTCTTCACTGAAGGGATTGTTCCCTTCCACAGTGTACCTATTAACTCCTTTTGGCCTTTCAAAAAAGTTGTAACTGGTACTAAGCAGAATTCATGCCTTTGTGGTCACACTGTTATACAAGGAGAACCCCATGCAGTTCTCTGTTTGTCAGCTATGAAGGTCCAAGGTAAATTCCAGAACACCACCAGCATGGGTGAAGGCTTCTGCAGACTTTAGTGGAGAAAGAGAAAGCTATCTAAGGCCAGTGTCAGTGAGAAAAGAGAAGCCACTGCTCTTCCTTCCTCCTCTGCACCCTTGGAGAGGCCTGCAGATGTTGGGGTATCTGCTAGACATGTGGGAGTTTGCAGGGAGGGGATGCCCTATGCTCCCATTAAGGCCACTCGCTCACTGTGCTGCCCCACCTTTTGTAGGGTAGATGTGAGGAAGCAGACTTGTCAGCTGAATAACCAGACCACTTCTGTGCTAGACCATCTGGTTTGGGATTTAAGCTGTTTATAAGAGTTGTCTAGGATTACCCGCTGCTTAAGCCCTGGAGAATTTGGGGCTCTGGGCTATGACAAACCCCCACCCCACCCCCATGCTAGGTAAGGCACAGGGAGAAGTGGGTAGGGGCCCACTGTTCAGGCAGGGAGAATTTAGAATCATTTTAGTCAGTCTTGCACCTTGCATCACAACCTAGCTGCAGAACCCTGGGTTTCACCCTATTACCTCTGTTCTTGGTTCTCCATAATGACCATTGTTCCATTGCTAATGATTGCAGGTTGGATTTTCCAAGGAACAGATGATAATAGCACAGAGCTCAACAGGCAGGAGATTTATCAGGAAGTGCTCTTGGGGTCAACACTTTTTAAAGGAAGCTATTGGAAGAACATTTGGCAGCAGGAGAAGTTAAGCTGCAATTCAATCATTTCCAGGTGAAAGCTTCAGGTGTTCTGAAGCTGAGATGACCCTTCAGACTTCTCTGATTTGGGGGCTAAGGGGCTGGACATTTCTATTCCCACATTGTTCAGCCAGTGCGTCAGGGCTGGCCTGGGAAGTGGTTGTGAGCTTGGGCAAGGTGGCTCTCCGTAGCCCGAGGCCCCAGAAGGCATTGTGACTGAGAACTTCCTCCTGGTGGCACCCCTGCAGCGAGGAAGGAAGTCCTCAGTCTTGAAGGAGGCCTGGCAGCATATCAGAATATCTACCACAATAAGCACAAGATATTTGTTACATCCTGTAGTGAAATATCAAGGAACTTCCTTTATTCTAAATCTGGATGCTTAACTACTTTGTTCTTGGTTATATACAGTCCCAATTATCCCCAGAGTGGAGGTGATAACCAGGTAGTACAGAGATGATGAGGAGTGGGCTAGGAACTTGGTGACAGTTTTCCATGTGGGTCTATGAGTTGTATTTCTGTGTTTCAAAAGGTAATTATATATATCCAACTGATCTTTGACAAAAGAGAAAGGCAATACAGTGGAGAAAGTTTGTCTTTTCAAAAAATTTTGCTATAACAATTGGATATCTACATGCAAAAAACTGAGTCTAGACATAGAGTCCCTTATATTCTTCTCAAAAATTAACTCAAAATAGGCTCCAAACCTAAATGTAAAATGTAAAACTATAAAACACCTAAAATATAACATAGGAGAAAATATATGTAACCTTGGGTATGGTGATGACTTTTTAGATAAAATACCAAAGGCACAATCCATGGGAGAAACGATTGAAAAGATGGATTTCATTAAAATTAATAACGTCTGATCTGCAAAAGACAGTGTCAAGAGAATAAAAAGAAAAGTCACAGACTAGGAAAAAATATTTGCAGAAGACACATCTGATAAAGGACTGTTTTCCAAAATATGCAAAGAACTCTTAAAATTCAACAATAAGAGAATAAGCAAACCAATTTAAAAATAGGCCAAAGGCCTGAACAAACATCTCACCAAGGACGGTAATGCAGGTGGCAAATAAGCATATGAAAAGCTATTCCGCAGCATATGTCATCAGGGAAATGCAACTTAAAACAATGAAATATTACTATACACTTTTTAGAGTGGCCAAGGTCTGAAACATTGACAAGCCCTGGGAAGGACATGGAGTAACAAGAGCTCTCATTCGCTGTGGGTGGTAATGGAAAATGGGACAGTCACCTTGAAACAATGTGGTAGTTTCTTACAAAACTAACATATTCTTACCGTATGATCCAGCAATCCCGCTCCATGGTATTTACCCAAAGGGGTTGAAAACTTATGTGCTCATGAGTGTCTATAGCAGCTTTATGCATGATGCTCAAAACTTGGAAGCAACCAAGATGTCTTTCAGTAGGCTAATGGAAAAAAGAAACTACGGTACATCAAAACCGTGAAATATAATTCAACACTAAAAAGAAATGAGCTATCAAGCCATAAAAGACATGGAAGAACCTTAAATGTATATTATGAAGTGAAAAGAGTCAATCTGAACATGCTACATACTGCCTGATTCCAACTATATGACTTTCTGGAAAAGGCACAACTGCAGACAGTAAAAACATCAGTGTTAACCAGGGGTTGTATGGAGTGGGGAAGGGAGGGAGGAACAGGTGCAGGGCTGAAGATGTATGACACCATAATGATGGATACTTGTCATACATGTGTCCAGACTCACAGTATGTGCAACACCAGGAGTGAAGCGTACTGTAAGCTATGGACTTTGGGTGATTATTATGCTGATTAGTTATAACAAATGTCCCACTCTGGTGGGGGATATAGACAATTGGGGGAAGCTACTCATGTGCGGGTGCCCGGGAAATCTCAGTACCTTCTGCTCAATTGTGCTGTGAACCTAGAACTGCTCTAAAAAATAAAGTCTAGGTGAAAAAAAGGCAATTATTTTCCTCTGACAACAACGATAAAAAAAAATAGAACTTCCATTATCCACTTAATAGGCTGAATTAATGAGTTATAATAATCATATAGAAGACTGATCTTTAAGAGATCATCAGATTTTTGCATCAAAAGTTATCCTGTATCAGCCAGTCATGAAATTGTAATGGTATATATACTGTATATTCCTCCTTTTAGAGCAATGCTTTGAGGAAATGCCATTGTTTAGAATATTAAGTTGTCCCAGTTACATAAATATTTTATGGATATTTTATGTTTCAAGCTCAAAGAACTTTAGTGAAAACACTAATTTTGAGAATGCCTGGAAATCACTTTCTCTCACTCTGCGGTTTGATCTCTTAAATGTAGTCAATAATGTCTAAAAGAACCGTGGTATCTGTTCATTACAACTTGTTTAAATTTTAATCAAATTTAAAGGAATATTTATGCCACCATTTTAATACAACACATCATTCTTTGTTCTGCTGGGGAATTCTGGCAGAATGAGCAACAGCGGAAGTCTTGTTCTTGGGTTTTGTAATGTTTCCAAAATCAATTTTTGGAATTATTTCATGTAAATCACTGCAGCCCAACCATTACCATCAACACTCGGCATTTATCAATGTTCAGCCAACACGGA